TCAGCAGGAGAAAGGTTTTTTCGTCTTGTGATATTCCAAACAAATATTCGATTGGGTTGTCAAGAGGACGTTCGATTTGTTTTTCTTATGGCTGCAAACGCAAATTGAATTGTTTTCATAAATTTGGAGATTGATTGTCAAAGTGGATGACAGATGAAAGCTAAGTGAAACTAGTGTAGTATTTATTAGGAAGTTTACAAGTTGCAGGGTTGCCAGATGTGCAAAGAAAACAATAAAATACCAATAGAAACTATAGATAACTAACTTATGACACCTTTACGTAATAAATTGATAAATTAACTGAACTCTCAGCTGCAAACGCTAGATTTAGAGTTGCCAGCTGGCAGTTAAGTAAAAGTACTTAAGCAATGTTATTGGCAGTGTTGCCATTCAGCTTTATTTGAATTGAATGACATCTTATATCGATAACACAAAGTAAGTCTAGAGTTGCCAGATAGCATCAAGCCAGTATGTTACATAATGAAATAACATTCAGGGTTGTCAAGCTTCTGACGAAGTTAAATGTAATTTTAGGGTTGCCCGCTAATGAACATTAACTAATGCATAAGAAGTAGCCACATAATTGCCATACAAATCTATTTTGATAATAAATATACGATTTGCTATGTCGAAAGCACAAAAGCACTGGAATTTGAGGCATATTGAGACAACTTTAAGACAGGCATAACAAAAGCTATTGTCGAACGGAACGACCATTGACGAATTGCGTTGCCCCAGCGTAAGGGTTGCCATCTAATAAAATGTTCACAATAGAAAGTTAAACTATGGACTAAAAAAAAATATAATAATTTTAATATGCTAGTTTAAATTGTGCATGATTAGTTAAATGCCCTTTCCCGCTTCCGTAATGCCCAATCAAGCCAAACAATTTGATTCCAACAATTATTCGACTAATATTGTGAACTGCAACAACAACAATGGCAGAGCTTCAAATTGTAAATTATGAACAGCTTTAAATGGAAAGTTTATTTTAAGGTTCATTTGCTGGGCCAAATCGCTGGAAAGTGCATCAAATCTGGGCAAACGGAGATTTTACAGCTAATTCGGTAATGTTTTATTGGTCCAGCTGGAGCATATGCTAACCGCGGGCACCTGGCAACTGGGCAGCCACTGTAACTTATTGGGCGAAAGGTTCAGTCCAGCAATTGTTATGCAAATCGAGCAGAGATTGCGGAGGACTTCGACAACAACAACAACAACAATGGTCAGTGGGTAGAATTGGACAAACAACTGGCAAACAGATCCAAATCGAATTGGCGGCGACTTTAAATTATGGCCGCCATAAAGCCAAACTAGCGACAAACTCGACCATTTCCTGGGCGACCAAAATATATAAATAAACTGGAATCCGGCAACGCGATTCGCGATCCACAATACACAACCCGCATAATCAATTGTCATTGTCATTAGGTTACAGCTTTTTGGTTATGGCCAGCGCTTGGCTAATCCCGGCAACCAAATTGCGCCACCTTCACTTTTTGTTTGTGGCTCGAGCGAAACCCGATTGTTTTTCTTCGTTATACCCTGTAAACGGCGGTGAACTAAAGGGTGTACCAGCTAGCTGGGATAAATCTGAAAAATCACTATCTCATAGGATATCTCTAAGTCTAGCAAGATTTCGCGAGCCATACGAAACTATAGCAGAAGAGAGCGTATATTACATAGCATAGGGTATATCATAGTCGTGATCTTACCTACTTTCTACCAGGAGGAATTTCAGAATCTTTTTTAACTCTTTGTACTGTTTCGGTAGAAACATTGAAGCTAGGTAAACGCAAGGCAAACCTTAAACTATAATTGTTGCAGGGTATCTTACGATCAGTCAAACATTTTCAACTAATTTTAAGAGCAATTATCTTAAGCCTTAAAAGGATTAAACATGCTGCATGTTTGTATGAGATTTTTGCCCGAATCGCGTATAGGGTATCTGGCAGTGCGGCAACTCGCAGCACCTATCGCCATTTTTGGAGCCTCGGCCGAAACAGAGACATCCTTGTTAAGCTGCGACATGCCACATGCAACATGATTGTCTACGCTTCGCTGCTGTTGCAAAAAGAACGAACCGTGGCAAAGATTTCAATTAATATTTGGAAAGTTCGCAGTTTTCGCAGTTAGTTTTACCCAAGGGGCGACGCCCATTCCCACTCTCGTCGAGTGCGTTGCAGCTTGTTATGGGAGCAACCGCAGCCGCAGCAGCAGCCGCAGCTGGCCAGCATTCAGCTGATGACGGAGCTACTCATCCTTCAAGCGAGCCATGAATTCAAATGTATATACATATATATACAGTCGGCCGCTGGCTGATAAATTTTGATACCCTGTACACAGGGGAAGAAGGGCTATACTGGGTTTTTTGCGTATGCATGTAACAGGCAGAAGCAAGTATCTCATAAAATTAACTTTGATTTACATTTTCAGACCTTAAGTTTTAAATCGATAAATATCGATTATCAACTCGTTTTTTCGTTTTTTTTGACATATCTCGGGGATTATTCGAGCTAGAAGCACCACATTAGGTGTATAGATTTTCTTGCAGTGTACAAACATTCGGAATATTGCACATTTTGTATAACGCCTGAACGTAGCTGGGAACAACGATAAATATCGATTTTTAGCGTCCGATTTTTGAGCATAGCTCGTAGCTTATATGAGCTAGAGACAGACAAATTTGGAGTGTAGACTCTCTTACGTATGCATACACATAACCAGAAAGCTTTTTGGACGCCTCACGCCTAAAAAACTGGTCATGGCCTTTAGGCCCCGCTGTGAACAGGGTATTGCCTAGTCGGGCACACTTCAATGAGAGCACACTTAGTTGCGTTGTGCCTTTCCATTTGCCACTGGCTGCAGTTAAGTGGTAGCCAAAATGAATGCATCCTCCACAGTGACAACTGCTCGACTGCAGCTGCGAGAGGGGGCGGAGCGGGGGTACAGGGAAGCGACTGGGTGGGTAGGGGGCGTGATCTGGGGCGGGGGCTGCTGATGCTGCTGCGTGCCGCCTGCCAAACAAACGACAGAGACAAACGCCTAACAACTTATTGAAAATATGTTTAACCATTTTCGGGCAATTGACATTTTGGCTGCCGTCGAGAGACCCTCTCCCCCTCCCCCTCCACAACTCCACCATACACCCCCTCAGCAACTTTACAGCTGCCTTTTGAACGCTGTCTCAAAGAAAAACTCTCGCTTTTCATGTTATGCTGGCGCAACAATGATAAAAATTTAACCCAAGGCAATGCTCGACTTGATTCTGTTTTCACCAGCTGGAAAAGTGGCTTATATAACACCTACACACACACACACACACACACTCGCACACACCCATCACATTATCCAGGCAGCTGCCTGACGCTGTCATGGTCATGTTCAATCAGCCCAAATGTGGCCCCACAGGCTAAACCTGGCTCTTCCGTCTTAGATTTGTGCAACCCTCTCCCCCCGCCCACGCAACTCCCTAACTCGCATAGTTTTTCGCAGGCTTTTGCTCATTTGCAATCCCATTTATACACAGATTTTACTCACATATTGTGCAGACAGATCGAAATTCGCCGCACATAACATTCCAATTGTTTGTTTTAGTTCTTGGGCAGGCACTGGCAACGGACATTGGGCCGTTCCAGGGTGCTGGGCTGAGGTGGGGCATCGGGTCTACGGCAATAGTCCCCTTTTGCGGGCTGGATTTTAACTTCGCATTTCTTTTTCCGCGGAGGCTGCGGTACGCCTTGATAACAACAGCAGCAACATTTGCAGCATTGGGCACCCATTCTTTGATATATATATATATATTTATTTTTTTTTGTATTTAATACTTTATAAATTTTTTACAGTTAATTTGCAGTTTTAATACGTAAAATTTTTCATAACTCAAATGAAAAACAAAAAAATCGGAAAAACAAGGCAACATTGTCGAAGGTTTGAGCTTTTGGGAAAAGGGGGAGTTGATTGAGCTGAGCAGTGTCTAACCTCCGTCTCCCCGCCCCCCTCCGTACCACCTACCAACTTCTTGCCAGACGAGAGTATTTTGTATTTCCCTAGCTTGTGCAACAAGCTCTCAGATACTTGTCTATCTTTTTGAATAGGCGGCAACTTTGGCAAGTGGCTGCAGGTTGTTGAGTTGGTTTCTTTGTGCCCCATGTGGCACGCACTGACGGAAGACGAAAATATATTATAATATTATACATATACATATACATATACATATATATGTATATATGAGAAATGGGTAAAGTCGCGAGTCATTGCGAATGAAAAGCCACATGAAATGCGTGTAGTGTAATTTTTCTGTTCAGTTCGTTACACTTTTACCTATGATTAGTATCTCAGCTTTTTCTACTTCAGGGTTTTTTTTGTTTTGTTGTCTGGCTTATGGCTTGTTATCAACGTTATGTATCTTTGAAGGTTTTCCTTTGCGTTTCTTTGAAAGTTTAATTTATAGTTTTCAAATGAAGAGTGTTCAACAAAGTGTTTATTGCTTGGCATAATTGTGTCTGGCAGCAAGAGAAAATAAACTGAAGATCAAAAATTGCGTAATCCCAGCGCATTTTCGAGCAACAAATGACGCATTATTTAAAAGATGAGCATAGGAAATTTGTATAAAATGTTGTTAAATTGTGGAAAAATATTTTGTGTTAAGCTTGACCAATTCACGCATTATTTTGATTCCACTTTTAACAAAAATCTCACTTTAAAATTGATCAAAATCAAAAATCATGTTGCAGCTTTATGCATTCTTTTTTTTTTTTTTTAGCAACATTTGAGACTAGGCCCACAATCAACTCAATATGAGATATTGAGCTTAGTTAATTGTTTAATTTTCATTTTAATTAACTTTGCTTAAATATCGACCCAAATTTATTTTATTATATATTTCTATCAACATTATTCTTTAGCCTCATGTTGCTGTTGCCTTACGCATGTTGCAGCAACTTTTGACGCCCCACAGTATGCTTTAGATTTTATTTAAAACAGAAAGCTAAACTTACCGAGTGTACTGCTAGATGGCGCTGCAACTCCGAATTGCAATATAATGTTAATTCCGAAATAGTTGGCGCATTTTCCAATTTGTTTTCCATGTCGCGTAGCCAGCGACGCAATTCCTTAGGATCCTCGCACAGACCCTCGGGTCGCTGCGTTTCATCCAGAATCTAGTAGATGATATTAAATAAAAAATGGTTTAGTAGAAATTTAGCCTAATTAAACATTTTAGCACGAAATGGTGCGCAAATTGGCTAGCTCAAGCTATATACGCCTAAAAGTATGCATTTAAATATTGTTGTTGCAAGTTGCAGCTACTCGACACTAGCTGGCGCTTTCCATTGTACTTACATGCAGTTGGCTTCCCATAAATTTGGACTCGCGTGATGTGGGCTGCGCCTCCTCAATCTCAAACCGCGCCTCTTTGCACGTATCCAACAGGTTTGTGTCCATAATATAATTATAGTTTGTTTGAATAGCCGCCCAGAGGTCGTCTTTGCCCGACGAGCCCAGACCAAGTGTGGCGCTGCTGTGCAGGCTGGTCGAGCTGCTGTGGCTGTGCCCGCTGCCCCAAGAGTAACGGTGCATTTTGTTGTTGCTGCCGCTGTTGTTGTTGCTATTGTTGTTGTTGTTGTTGCTGGAGCACTTGTTGCCGCCGCTCAGTGAGTTTTTCTGAAAAAAGCAGAGGAGAAAGAGGTGAACCTGGCTGTTAATAAATAAGTAATTTAAGCGTCGCCAAATAAGGTAGCGATAATATGCTTAACCATTTTTGGCGCTCCCCCCCCCCCCTCCCCATCCCACCGCCCGCGAACCGGTTGACAATGCTGCAAATTGTGCGCGTAATTAATTAATACATTTTTATTTGTGCAAAACGAGAGTTATAAACGTCTAGCCACAATAGAAGAAAATTCCGCATTGACACAGCTTCGCGTAATGCTTAAAAAAAATTACATTGAAATTGAAATCGTAATTTAATTGAATGACAAGCGCTCCACAATTAATTAAATTGAATAACCAGCAGCTGGCCCCAGGTGGGTGCCACGAATGACTTGAACTTCCTGCGAATAAACCGCGCACAGTCAGCTTGTAAAAATTTAACATGCACTCGCACAATTAGCGCTCGTTTGCGCTAGCGACAGCTACGAAACGGTTAAGAATGTGAAATCAATCGATAAATCAACAGTTGCATAACGAGAAATGTTCGATTCATTTGAGGAACAAGCGGAAATGGATCGTGAGACTACGCTCAATCCAGTTGGAGTATTTAACATGAAGATAAATTTGCAACCAGCTTGTAATACACAGTTATTTCCTATACAAAAGTATGAAATACAATTTAAATTGCATTTACACTAAACTCATGGCTGTCTTAAGTTGATTTGCTTTACAACTAACTTTAACATGAAGATAGATTTTAAGCCAGCTGCTAATAAATTGCAATAAACAGTAAGCTCTCTTTAAGTCGCCATTTTGCTATATAAAAGTTGCTTTGATTAAATAATAAAAAAGTGAAATGAACTAGATTCTAACTTCAAGGTCCTTTGAACTGAGCTGTTTTACAGCCAACTTTAACATGAAGATAAAATTGTAAAAATTGCATAAATATTTCAGATTTTTTACACTGCCTTATAGGTCTATTATAGTTCTTCTCTTTTCTTAATTAAGAGAACAACAAAGGAAAATATAATTGAAACTGTATTCAAACTAAAGTTGATTTAATTTACAACCTGCTTTTAAATGTAGATTTTGGTATATAAATTTAACCACAAAATCTTTTTCATTACTGGCGAATTCAATTTATATACGTTTATATCTGTTTATTTCCCAAAATTGTTTAAAGCTAGCATAAACGTTATTTGTTTTTATTAATTTATCACGTATGCATTCAATATCACATGTCGAATCGCACGTTTAAATTTATGCTCTCTTTTAAGCGCTGACTAATTAAGTGGAACGTTGTGGCATGCGAAACACATGCTGCAAAATTGTAAACCGTTATAATGCTCCCTCTCCCTCTCTCTCTCTCCCTGTCTCTCTCTCTGTCATGCCAATAACGAAATTAAATTTGATTAATAATTTATTAAAGCAATTTCCGTTGACGCAGAACCAAGAACCAGATCAGGAATTCATATTCTAACGGCAGCTTGTCATTTAGGAGCAACGGCGACATGGCGACATGAATAGAGCAATGCCACCCGGCTCTGCGCCCCTGCTCCCCCCTCCCAACCCACCTGCACCACTCTGCCCCGCCTCGAGCCAGATCAAGTTGTTAGCGTGCGGAACGCAGAGACATATTTATGTTAACTCTCAATTGCAAATTTATGCGCTACCCACGGCTCAAAATGTTGACTGCAAAAATGTAACTGCGCCACCTTCAGCTGGAAGCTAAACCACCAGCTGCACCAGCAGAAACTGGCACCACCTTACCTTGAGGCTGTTGTAGGGTCGCTCCAGATGCAGCTTGGCCTGGATGGTATCGCGTCGCTCCTGCTGCAGCTCGTCCGCCGGCAGCGAGGTCATCGATTGCGATATTTTCATATCGCTGCCGCTGCCGCCACCGCCCAACGCACCACCCCCGCCGCCCGCAACGTCCAACAACAACATGTTGTTGAGGCCGGCGGCCCGTCGTTGTTTACGCAGCGAACTGCTGCGACTGCTGCCAGCCGATTTTGTGGCATGGCTCGATTGGGTGGTGCTGCGTGTTGCACTTGTTGCCGCTTCTGTTGTGGCTGGCATGACAAATGCAACCACATCCTCCAATCTGAGTGTGTTCGTTGTTGTTGTTGTTGTTGTTGTTGTTGTTTTAGTTATGTCAGCGTTTCCGTTGACGCACTTCATCGTGATGGCCGCTTTATCAGTCTCTTGGTTGCTAAATGACGTCTCTGTTGCCATTGCCACGCCCACCGCCTCTGCTGCTGCTTGATGTGGCTGCGCTTCATCAAGAGCCGCTCTTTCATTTCCAGCTTCCATAGTGTGGCGCTAATTGTTTTTGGTTCCGATTTCCATGTGTATGTTAATTTAATTAATTTGCTTTAAATCTGCTTTTAGTCGTGTTTCGTTGTGGCTCTTGTTGTTGTTTGTTGTTGTTCGTTGTTGTTGTTGCTGCCGCACTTAAAATGCATAAATTTGCATGTCTGCCGCCATTGCCGGGCGTTCGTTTCGTTTCATGCCAACGTTCCGCTGTGCTGCCTCTGACCTTTTTGGGGCCGCGCGCAGTTCCAGTTCCTGGCGGGCTTTTTTCCTTTTTTAATTCGTTTTCCGTTCGTTTGCTTTTTATGCAAAATACGTTTTTTATTTCGTTATTTTGATAAAAAGTAAAAATCACAATTTAATTGTTTGTTTCACTGTAATTAATAAAACAAAACAAAATAAAAGCGTTTAACGCGAATTAGTTGGAAGCAAATCAAAAGGCATCAATTATGCGATATACATATATATATATATAAATACATATTATTAATTATGATAATAATGCTAATCGTTTCGCATTATGCGCAATGTTGAGCTAATGCTTGCATTGAAGACCAGTTGCAGCTGCTTCGTTTTTCGAGGAAGTGAGAGATCAGTGAGCAGAAAGCAATTTTAAATTTATACCTAAATTTAAACACAATTTTTCGTTAGCATTTTACAAGGAAAACATCAAAAACTGTATCACCTAGTTAAACTCATGAAAATCGCATAGAAAGGCGGTGTTTGCGAGTGAGGCAGAGAGATTGGGGGTGGGGGAATGTAAGGCAAGGCGCATATGAGCGAAAGAAAAAGGGAATTATTTAAGGAAGAAATAGAATTTAAGAGAGAAAGGAGAGTTAAGATAAAGTAGAGATATAAATAGATATAGGGAAAGTAAGGCAAAGATAGGAAAGAAGGAGGACAAAGGAGAGAGAGACAGTGAGATTGTGATGAATGATTGAATAAGCCCCTTTGAGAGTAAAATGGTAGTAATAAGGGGAGATAGTGAGAGAAAGAGAAAGAGAGAGAGAGAGAGAGGAAGAGAGAGAGAGAGAGAGTGTCAATGTTAGGAAAAACAACAGGAACAGAAGAAGGAATTCCTCTCATTTAGATGTTGCCGCATATTCTTTTAGCAACCTATAAAAGCTGCCAGCAAAAGTTCAAGCTCCTGTGTCACAATATTGCAACATTAAACGAATGCTGAATGCCTGCACAAATTAGTTTTAGCAAAATGTGTGATATCTGTTGATCAGCAGACAAAAGAACTGCCGCTTTTTTTTGCTGCTGCAGAGTTGAGCATTATTATAGAGTATATATATCTGCATATCATATCTCTCACATCACACCCACAACAATGGTAGCTGCAGCAACTGTAAATCGCAATTAAAGCCAACTCTAACTGACAACTACATAATTACAGTGGAAGGCCAACGACTCGGACGCATAAAAAAGGCAAGACCACCAAAATTAAACAAACAAAACAAAAAATTATAATAATCACGAGTATTACTTAATTCCATAAGAGACAAACAAACACACGTTCAGCTGACCAAAAAGGGGGCGGGTGCAAGGAGAGGCGTGTCGGGCAACGAAGTTGTCTGAGTTGGCACCCAAAATCTTAACAGAAACCGAAAAAAAATAAACCAGAAAAACAAAAACAATGTACACGATTCTAATCGGGAGCAATCAAATTTTCATACGAAATTAGTCGCAAAAACACTTGTGGGCCATATTTGTATGCAAATCGAGCTAGCCAAAATTGGCTGCAAGCGTTTATTTGGCCACTTAAGATACTATGAAACAGCAGCCAGTTAGTTAAAATAGCAACAACAGCAACTACACTACAACAGGAACTACAATTACGCATACGACAAAGTGGCATTTGGTCGACTGTTGGAATACCCTGTAAGAAGTTGGGGATGTTAGGCTTTCCAACAAGTGAAAATAAAGATTAAGGATGCGTTCAAAAGAGAAACACTAATAAAGAGAAGGAACGAGAGAGAGAGTGAGAGAAGAATGGATAGAGAAGAAACGAAAGATAGAGAAGGTGGGAGACAGAAGGACAAAGAGAGAGAGAGAGATTATGAGGGGGCGGAAGAAACGAGAGAGGGGTAAACAAGGACAGTTAGAAAAGGAAAATGAGAGATAAAGGGAGACATATGAAACAGAAAGAGATATTTGTAAGAAAGACTGAGATGGAAGATGGAGAAGATTAATAACAGCAAGATATAAAGAGAGATTAATCTAGCAAGATATATTGAACTCTTCGATTATATAAATATCGTTTATCGTTATCGTTGACTGTACTGGCTAAATAAAAAACTGCCTTATAAAACAAAAAACTGAAAACAATCGCGAAGTGATCCACACCAAAAAGGTAGGCGGGGGGCGTAAAGTTGTCGGCAATTGTCTGGGCAGCGGGTTGAGTGGGTGTTCGCGACTGCCGTCGGTGGTGCTGCTGGTACTGGTGGTGCAGGGGTTAGGGGGGCGTGCCACGACACACAAATCGACGCTAAAAGCAGTAAATAACGTTTGCCAGCCATTATAATTGTTCGAGACCCCCCCCCCCCCTTCCCAAAATACATACAAAACCGAAGATAGGAGTTTTTGGCCTGCGGCTTAGCTCGAGTCCGCGGGCCCAATTTAAAGGGGCCTCTCGATTTGCACTTTTCGCAGTGGTTGTTCATATTCTTGTGGCTCGATTCGTGATTGTTGTTGTTGTTTTTGTTGTTGTGGTCAAGCGAAAGCGAAACTTTAAGCAGCCAACCTACACGCAGAGAGTGCAATTGGCAAATGAATTGACCAAGGCAAGCCAAGTGAATATATTTATGTGTGCATGCATGTAGCACACACACACATAAATGCACAATAATGCATATGTATATATATATATATGTGTGTGTGTGTGTATTTATGGCTCTGCTCGACACTTCTTGGCCAGGCTTTTAGGCATCAACATTTTAACAGCTCGCCAAACACTTTGGCTTAGTCACTCAACAAAATAGTCAAGAGCGCGACTTCCCCCTGCCTTACCCTTACCCCTGGCCTTAGGCCATACAGTAGTTGCTTGGCGCGCATGCAAATCGCGCTGTTTGTGGAAACGGTGAAGGGAAAGGGGAGTGGGAGAGGGGCGACACATCCGTTGCCTATTCACTGGCCTCTTCGCACAGCCCGCTGTCCAGGCCGTGACTCATTGAGAAATAATAATAATTTTATAGCCTAAAGTGCTTCTGCAATTTGCATGTGTGACATGTTATATAAGGTGGCCATTACCTAATCACATAGTTAATATATGCCAGAGCATGGAACAGATCAAGTCTTTATAGAGATCTATGGGAATATGACAAATAATTGAAGGCAGAAATGAATCGATTAAACAGTTAAATATTTCGGCATCTGACAGCTTCAATGACTTATTAGATCTAAAGTCTAATATACCCTATATAGACAAAGGACAAAATTTCCCACCCCCATAACTCGGTCAAATCTCATCCGATTTTCACGAGGTTTCGTCTTTTATGCATAGTTTTCCTTTTTAAATAATCTGGCATTCAAATCTGAATATGTAAATTTTGGTCGAAATTCATGTCAAAATCTTACCCCTCAAATTCGTATATAGACAAAGGACAAAATTTCCCACTCCCATATCTCGGTCAAATCTCATCCGATTTCCCCGAGGTTTGACTTTTTATGCAAAGTTTTCCTTCTTAAATAATCTGGCATTCAAAGCTGACTACGTAAATTTTAGTCGAAATTCATGTCAAAATCTTACCCCTTTGATTCGTATATGTACATAGGTCGGAATTTCCCACTCCCATATCTCGGTCAAATCTCATCCGATTTCCCCGAGGTTTGATTTTTTATGCATAGTTTTCCTTTTTAAATAATCTGGCATTCAAAGCTGACAACGTAAATTTTAGTCGAAATTCATGTCAAAATCTTACCCCTTTGATTCGCATATGTACATAGGTCGGAATTTCCCACTCCCATATCTCGGTCAAATCTCATCCGATTTCCCCGAGGTTTGGCTTTTTATGCATAGTTTTCCTTTTTAAATAATCTGGCATTCAAAGCTGACTATGTAAATTTTTGTCGAAATTCAAGTCAAAATCTTACCCCTTTGATTCGTATATGTACATAGGTCGGAATTTCCCACCCCCATAACTCGGTCAAATCTCATCCGATTTTCACGAGGTTTGATTTTTTATGCATAGTTTTCCTTTTTAAATAATCTGGCATTCAAAGCTGACAACGTAAATTTTAGTCGAAATTCATGTCAAAATCTTACCCCTTAAATTCGTACATGTACATAGGTCGGAATTTCCCACCCCTATAACTCGGTCAAATCTCATCCGATTTTCACGAGGTTTGGTTTTTTATGCATAGTTTTCCTTCTTAAATAATCTGGCATTCAAAGCTGACTACGTAAATTTTAGTCGAAATTCATGTCAAAATCTTACCCCTTAAATTCGTACATGTACATAGGTCGGAATTTCCCACCCCTATAACTCGGTCAAATCTCATCCGATTTTCACGAGGTTTGGTTTTTTATGCACAGTTTTCCTTTTTAAATAATCTGGCATTCAAATCTGAATATGTAAATTTTGGTCGAAATTCATGTCAAAATCTTACCCCTCAAATTCGTATATGTACATAGGTTGAAATTTCCCACCCCCATAACTCAGCCAAATCTCATCCGATTTTCACGAGGTTTGGCTTTTTATGCATAGTTTTCCATCTTCAATAATCTGGCATTCAAAGCTGACTACGTAAATTTTTGTCGAAATTCATGTCAAAATCTTACCCCTCAAATTCGTATATGTACATAGGTCAGAAACTTACTCCTTAAATTCGTACAAGTACATAGGTCGGCATTTCCCACCCCCATAACTGGGTCAAATCTCATCCGATTTTCACGAGGTTTGATTTTTTATGCATAGTTTTCCTTTTTAAATAATCTGGCATTCAAAGCTGATAACGTACATTTTAGTCGAAATTCATGTCAAAATCTTACCCCTTAAATTCGTACATGTACATAGGTCGGAATTTCCCACCCCCATAACTCGGTCAAATCTCATCCGATTTTCACGAGGTTTGATTTTTTATGCATAGTTTTCCTTTTTAAATAATATGGCATTTAAAGCTGACAACGTAAATTTTAGTCGAAATTCATGTCAAAATCTTACCCCTTAAATTCGTACATGTACATAGGTCGGAATTTCCCACCCCTATAACTCGGTCAAATCTCATCCGATTTTCACGAGGTTTGGTTTTTTATGCATAGTTTTCCTTCTTAAATAATCTGGCATTCAAAGTTGACTACGTAAATTTTAGTCGAAATTCATGTCAAAATCTTACCCCTTAAATTCGTACATGTACATAGGTCGGAATTTCC